CCCCCCCCCCCCCCAGGCTGGCTGCTGTCCCTGGGGCTTGGGGCTTTGGGGGCTGTGGTCAGCAGCAGGGATGAGAAATGGCCGAGGGTGACCCCATCCTCATTTCCTCATTGGCCCTGACATTCCCCAGGGTGACCCCAACATCCCGGCCGGGCAGCAGACACTGGAGGTGGACCTGAGGCACCGCATCCAGCTGCCCGAGGCGGAGAACATGCACAACTTCAACGAGCTGTCACGCCTGGTGTTGGAGGTGCGAGAGCGCGTGAGGCAGGAGCAGCAAGCGGTCCCTCCTGAGGGTGCCCAGGGGCCTGCCGAGGACCAGCAGCAACCCGCCGAGTCAGGACAGCCGTTCATGCTGCCTGTGGGCGTGAGTTCACGGAACGAGGACTACCCCCGTACCTGCAGGATGTGGTAAGGGGGTGCACACGCAGGGTCCCCAAGTTTGAATCAATCAAGCCCACGGCCACAGAGCTGACTCGGCCTCAGGGACGCTGCAGGATGGCTAGGACAGCTTAGGAGGTGCCCTGTGTCTCTGTTTAGGGAGCAGGCGCCCCATTTTCTCCTGAGCTACAGCACCACCACCAGGATACCTTGATCCCAAGAGAAGGCGGCTTTACTTGTTTTCCCTAAAAATGTCCCCCACCCTACGATTCTTGGTCAGTGCACAGCAGCTGCCGGGCTTGCGGGCCAGGTGGGCACACTGCTTCCCCATGAAGTACTGTGTGGAGGGTGGAGGCCGACCCTTGGCTCCTCTTAGAATGTCCCAGAGGAAGATGGACGGCTGGGCAGTGTGTGTTTAGTGGCACTATCCTCTCAGGTAACCCACGGGTGCTGCTAGGCACCACTGTACCCGTGCAGGCCTTCTTACATCCCGGAAGTGGAGGTGTTGCTGCTGGAAGGATCTCGAAGACCCTGGCTAGCTAGGTGGGCAGGGGAGGGTGGTGGTCAACAGATGAGCTGGCCGCATGGGTGGTCTGAGCAGCCCCACGGGATGAGTGGTCCGGCAGGCAGGCGGAAGCGGTGTGGCCGGTGGAGATGTACGCTCAGGGACCACCACTTAGCCTCTCGCCTTCTCGTTGTCCAGCTTCTACGGCACAGGTCTCTCCGCGGGACATGGTTTCACCAGCCCCGAGCACAACCCGGGTGTCTTCGTCATCTTTGACGATGACCGCTTTGGCTTCATCTGGCTGGAGCCCAAGACCTTCAGCTTGTACAGCCGGGTCAAGGTTGCCTTCCAGAACGCGGATGCGCCTTCCCCACAGGCCTTCGACGAGATGCTCAAGAACATCCAGTCCCTCACCTGACGGATCCCTGCGCGGGTGGGCGGGGTGGGAGCATGCGCCATCTGCCTGTTCGTGGTCCGCAGCCTGCTGGAGAAGCGGAGGAGGTCCGACAGAGAAACGCGGAGGAGCAGGAAGAAGAGCCAAACTGGTGCCAGGGGCTCTGCAGTCATAGGGTGTGGGGGGGCGCTGGCGTGTCCTCCACCCACTGGCTCTCCTGGGGGCTTCCCCTCAGGGACGCGAGCTTGGTGGAGGGCAGGGTGTGATAAACAGGGCTGTTACCCCGACAAGACGACAGGACAGGACAGGACAGGACAGGGCTGTCCAACTGGGATGTGGGTCCAGGGCGTCCGGAGACTGGGAACCTGTTTGGAGCTCCAGCTGGCTCCCCTGATTTCAGCAGAGGCAGGCCACTTCCACTCGCAGCCTTCTGTCAGGAAGGGTGCTCACAACGTGGTCACCGATTAGGGTCCGAGGGACTCCAAGGGGAGTGCAGGACAGTGAGGGGACAGTGAGGATGTGCATCGAGTCTGTGTCTGTGGGAAACATGGACAATGGGGGTTTGTAACAGGTCTCTCGGTCTGGAGACAGGAGCGGGGCAAACACAGGATGTGTGTCCAGGACACTGAAGGGCCCTGGGCCCGGCTCAGCCCACTGTGTCGATGCAGACCCCGAGGGGACCTGTGGAGCCGTGTCACACAGGTGTCTGGCTGGTGGACGCTGTGCTGGGAGTCCAGTGCTGTAATGGTGGCCTCGGGGTTCATGCCACAAGGGGACGCACTTTCCAGGGCATTGTTCTCAGGGCGGCTCTGGGCACGGGGAGAACGGCCAGACACAGTCAGGAGGGACTTGGGGTGTTGCGTGGTTTTTTTTTTTCCCCAATTATCGCTTCTTGCTACTTGTTTACTGGCCAGCTTGGGGAAGGGGACGCTGACCCAAATGCGGAGGCCAGGGCAGTGAGGGGGAGTGGACTGGGGCCGGGCATGGGTGTGCCTCCGTCAGTTTTAAATAAACTCGATTTTGAAACCCCGACTGCTCTGTGACATGTTGCTACTGTGTCTGGGTCTTCGAGGAGCCGTTAGCAGGCGTTTACCGCAGCCGAGGTCAGCAAGGCACTAGGGGACCTGAGGTCCCCACGAAGCTTGGACATGGGGTCAGGGAGCCGGCCCTTGACCTGTACACTTCCAACCACCCTGGCCTAGGGCGTCTGTGGAGTGGGTTCCCACCCTGCCTGTGGCTGGTAGGGGGCAGTCCTGTCCACTGTGAGGTGTTAAGCAGCATCCCTGGTCTCCAGCCGCGCCATGCTGATAGCATCTCCTTAGAAAGGCCATCGCTGCTGGATGGGGCCAGTGGGCAGTGCCTCAGCACCTCCCTCCACACCCGCCCCTCTCTGTCAGACCCCTCCTCTCTAGACTGTCAGCACAGCCTCACCCCATGCCTACTCCCGTCTCTACTGACTGTCAAAAATACCCCCAACAGATTGCTGCTGCTCACCAGGTCTCTGCCCCCACCCCACCCCACCCCACTGCCTGTCCTCCCGGCAGCCAGGGGGCGCCGTTGTTTAACGGTGAAGACCCTCCCCTTGTCATGCACCGGACGCCCCCTACCTTCCTGTCTCAAGATGGCCACATATACTGTTCCCTTTGTTTGAAACGGCCTTCCCAGAGGTTTGAACAAGCCTCTCCCCTCAAACGTCTCATAGTGTTTGTCCCAGTGGGAGGGAGTGTGTGCCCCTCTGAAACACAGCCCTTGCTCCCTGCCTTTCCTCAGTTCCCTGGGTTTTGTGGGTGGGTGGGAAGCAGCGGGGTTTGCTGACCATTGATGGGTGGGGGGTGGGGGTGGGGCAGGAAGAGCTGGTGTAAGCCAGTTTCCTTCAGTCCACCCAGCACTGGGCTCCCAGGTCCCACCTGGCTCTCGGCCTGCCCACAGAACTTTCTGACACTCAGTAAGTTACGGACCAGTAGCTGTTTTCACCTTCTTGCCATCTCCCTTTGTTGGGACCCCAGTTGGCAGAGAGTGGGGACACATCTGTGACCACGGAGACACCAAGTGAGCCAGCTGTGCGTTCAGAAAATGAGGTGGAGCAGACCATAGCTGTGTGTCCAGAGATGGGGTGGGAGATGGGTCAGACTGCCTGGTGCCCTTGGGCACAGAACCTTGCACTGGGCAGGGGTCCTGAGGCCAGTGTTGGACCCTCTCCCCATAGAACCTGTCTCCCCTCTGTGTCTAGCATTCCAGGTTCCAGCGGAATGCAGGCAGAGGACAGGCTGGGGGAATCCCAATGTCTAGGTGACATTTTGGTGATCTCAGAGAAAGCTCTAGAACACAGGTCTTAGAGCTATGTGGGGTATAGGATGAAGGGGGAGTTGTGGGGTCTGGCCTGGCTGACTGGCTTTGCCCACTCAATTCCGTGTCCCCAGCAGATTTACAGAAGGACCAGGTGATCAAGGAGGTGGGTCTAGGCACTAAGGCTGTGGCTTGTCATCAGGGAAGTCCAAGGGATACCACAGGACGAGAGGTGGACAGACTGACGTGGTGATGCAGTCAGCACCTCCGGGAAAGACAGGTGAGAGTCGGACGTATAGGGTCACACAGCGTTGCCTACACTCCCGTGTCCCGGGTGGGAAATACCAGACCAGTGCCTACCTGACACTGCCCAGGTATCCGGGCTACAGGGTGCCAGGGGATGTTTGGTTTCTGGTCACCATGGAACTGCTGACGTACTCTGTCTCTCCAAATCCTGACTTCCTGTTGTTGTCCTGTGAGGAGTCTGTCCTCACAGTACACACGGAAGCCAGGCACCTGGTGGACATGCTCAGCAAGCTGGTGGGCGGGGGCTCCATGGAGCTGCCTTCCAATCTACCAGTCATGCAGACAGGCCCGCAGAGACGTGAGCATGGTGTCCCCTCCAGCTTGGACCTGCTGTAACTTCTGGGAAGCGTACATGCTCACATCTCTTGGGTGCGTGCCCAGCACAGACACTGAGTCCCGGGTTTGATGCAGGTTCTAGAGAGGCTACTGGACAGTTGCCCGTATGGCTGCATCAGTCCACTCCCAGCAGCCCCTTCTCGAGACACTTGGTGTCTGTGCTTTCAATTACCAGCCATTCTGGTGGGAGGGTCGGGGCTCCCTGTGGGATAAGCCTGCCTTCTCTACCTCTGGTCACAGTGCCGTTCTGGTGGGCCTGGGAGGACAGAGATGGCACAGAGCCTGAGGACGCACCGAGGCGGACAGGGACGCAGCCACCAGAGATGGAGTGTCTCATGGATGGTGAGAGTTCCTGGGGTCCTGTGAAGACAACAGTGAATGCATGATGCAGGTGCACACACAGACACGGGAGGACACAGTAACACCACACACATGCACGGCACACACATACACAGGAGGACATGTTAACAGCACACAGCCACACAACACACACTCATACATGGGAGGACTCCTTAACACCACACATGTGCACAGTACACACACATGGGAGGGCACGTTAACACCACACCACACACCCATACATGTGAGGGCATGTGAATAGCACACATCACACAACACACATGCACACAACACACACATGTATGAGAGGACACAGCAGCACACATGATACACGGGTCACACTCATACACACAAGAACACAGACCACACGCACATACACATGCGCACACACACTGTACATACCACATGCACACCATACATGTGCACAAACCACACATGGATATGTGGACATACTGTGAGGCACCTGTGCATACCGTACACATGTGCACGCAGGGCACACACACACTACACACGTGCTGCAGAGGCTCCGTGTGGCGCCTGACAGCTGTGGGCTCCCCAGCCAGCACAGCCCTAGAGCACAGTGTTCCCATGTTGCTGAGGAAACTCACATTTCTCTACAAACCCCAGAGGATTGCACTGAAAGGGCTGCCAGATTCCTCAGCTGAATTATGGATGCTCAGTCAGATTGGAACTATGGATAAATGACCGATCACCTTTAGTTAAGGTTTTCCTAGATACTGTTTGTTGATGTTAGGTGCTATCAAGTTCATTTTGACTCAGAGCAACCCTGTGTATGAGGGGGCTTCAAAATGTTTATGGGAAACTGGTTTGGGATGATAATGGACTTTTCCTACAGACGTTTTGAAGTTTTTTCTCAGAACAAAACAAAACCCGTCCGGCTTGGCATCATTCTCACAATTGCTGTGGTACTGTGTCAGCCCATCTCGTTGGGGGTCTTCCTCTTCTTCGCGGACCCTCCACTTTACCAAGCATAATGTCCATCTCCAGGGACTGGTCCCTCCTGATCGCATGTCCAAAGTATGAGAGACAAAATCTCACCATCCTGGTTTCTAAGGAGCATTCTGGCTGCACTTAGAACTTCTAAGACAGATTTGTTCAGTCTTCCAGCAGTGAGTGGTACTTTGAGTCTTCCTCACCGACACCATAACTCAGAGGCATCATGCTTCCCACGGAACCTATGGGATGGCCGTGTCAGTCAGTACAGCTGCCCCACAGAGCAGGGCTGCCAAGGGTGTAAATCCTTAAGGAAGCTGACTCCCATGGAGCCACCAGCCTCCAGGGCTCCTTTGTCTGGGATAGACCTGTGCTGAGACGTGAGAGTTTGACCAGCCTTGAGGTTTACGTGGGCACCCTTGTTTTCCCCAGCAACCTTGCCTGGATACTGATTTCAGCTCGTTCTCCCATTCTGATTCCAGGGTGGGGAGCCCTGCAGACACACAGACCCATCCGTTGGAAGAGGTGAGGGTGTTTTTGGGGTCAGGGCAGGTGGGCCTGTAAGGAAGGTACCCGCTCCGGCCTGGCCTAAGAAGGGCCTGTTCATGGGGAGGACTCGGCCCCAGGCACACTGACCTCCTGGGTCTAGTGAATAAGGGCTCCCCGGGTCACTAGCTCAAGATACACATTGTCTCAGTAAGGACCAGTCAGCTGTTGGGACCAGTCCTGCAAGCAGAGCAGAAGTTCCTGGGGATTTGGTGAAAAATTGAATGCCGACGTGAATTATTCCCCATGGGGTCACCGTCCCTGCCATTCTTGTACTATTTGATTGACACCTGACGCAGCCATCACCTGGTTCCCGGTCCGCTCCATAAGCACACACACACACACAACAGGCGGATCCACTCACCCATCCGATAAGTGAGCGCCAGAGCCCCCCATTACCCCTTCCAGCAGGGTGAACAGCGCATAGGAGGTGCTGCACCCATCGGGCAGGTACCACTGGGAAGGAAGATGTCGGCAATTTAGCCAGCTTCAGGCATGGATGTAGCCAGAGGCAGGGGCGCTGTGGGCGTGGCCGAGATTCCTACTCTGTCTGTAGTGCAACCTCAGCAGGTAGGATGATTTCGTTCCCAGCAAGGCCAGCACACAGGCTCTGGCCTGATTGGGTTGGGATACGATTCTGAGCTGATCTCCGAGACCAGGAGGACTTGCCAGTGGCTCTGCCTTCCTGGGCCTGCCTGAACCGGAGGTCTAATGACAAGCCAGATGCAGGACCCAGACTCAGCAAAAAGTAGCAAGTTTTCCCCAGAGGGTCCAATCTATTGGAAGCAGGCCACATCCCCTAGGAAACTTACTTCCAGTTGATTGGCTGCTCAGCAGATCTCATCATGGGGAAAGTGATTCCATCATGGTAGCTCTCATCAGGGGAGAAGTCTCTTGTCTGAACAGCTAAAACACTGAGTCCCGGCCCAGCGCAGCTGACACAAATCCATCATCCCCTCAAGGGAAGTACAGTGCTACCATCATTACAACATGTTGGGTGCTGTGTGGGTTACACATTCCCATCCTGCACTCCTTCCGAGCTTGTATTTGCCCGCTGTCATCACAGTGGTCAAACACAGTGGCCATGAGGAAATGGTGCTGGGAGCCAGCTGGGCTTTGCTGTGCGGCTGATCTCCAGAGTGAGATGACCACCCATCTTCTGGCAGTTGTTGATGGGACAGGAATGAGCAGGGGCCTGTGTGATTTCCAAATGTGCTGCCACCCAGGTGGAGCTGTCTTGGCGATGGTCTCCTTCAGGGTCCCACATGGTCTCGGGGTGTCTGCTAGGAACATCGATGGGCTGACAACACCTCTGCTTGGTGGGCTACCTACCCCCACACATCTTGAAAACACTCCTTGCACCGACCCTCCAGAAAGTCCAGGTACACTGTTAGCTGGCCGTTCTAAAGGAGCCAGCAGGGCTGGGCACGGCTCTCTACATAGCCTGCTCAAGGGCCCCCAATGCTGGTTCTGATGGCACTGTCCCCCCACCACGGGTGCCTCATGAGAAGACACGGATCTAGGATAGTCCCCTGCCCCAGTTCATACAAAATCCAGAACTTTCTTTTCTTTTCTAGGAAGAACAAGTTTCAAACCTTTGCTAAAAACCATCTGGTAAGGAAAGCCAGCCCTGGGCCGCCTCACTCCTATGGGTGGGAGGCGAGGGACCAGACACAGCAACTCATGAGAGAGGCTTGTGGGCCACCGGCGCCCCGGGGTCCTCAGGACAGGTCATGGATGCTGGAGCCTTGGGGTGGGCCTGCCGTGGGCTGTGCTGGCCTCCAAGAGCAGACTGAATGCCTCGATTTCAGAGTGGGGCCAGAGACCAGCTTACCAAATGTAGATTCCCACCTGCCTTTCCCATGTCTGAATTCTGTGCCTGCTGTGCCCCCACCCTGAGGGTGTTGCCCACCCCACTCTGTTCTGGGTCTGCCAGGTGTATCCTGTTCCCAGCACCGCATCCCAAGAGTCTGTCTGCTGTGGGTGCCGCTTGAGCCCCAGGGACCGCCTGCCTGGACCCAGAGTACAGGCTGTTCTCCCTTATTGGGTGCCCCTGACCCTGAGATCCCCGAAGCAGGTAGGTGCCTCCATGGGGGGCCAGTCACCCCTCGGAACTGGGGGCGTATGAATGGTGTGAGACCTCTCTGGGGGCAGTTGGCACAGTAAGTGCACATTTGGTGAGTTTGAAGGATCTCTGGTAGCGTAGTGGTTACAAATTGGGCTGCGACCCGCAAGGTCAGCAGTTCAAAACTACCAGCTGTTCCGCGGGAGAAAGATGAGGCTTTCTGCTCCCGTACAGTTTTACAGCCTTGGAAACCCTATACAGGGTCACTATGAGTCGGAACCGACTCCACGGCACACAACAACAATGTATGAAGGGGCTTTAAAAAGTCTGTGGAAAATGGAATTAGACTGATAGACGCCAGGACTTGTGAAGTGTCCTCGTGGATCCTCACCTGTGAGACAGTTCCAGGCTCTGACTCACGATGCTCTGCGTATTCAGGGTAGAACTGCGCTCTTTGGGTTCTCAGTGGCTGGTTTTTGGGAAGTGGATTTGCAGGACTTTCTACCGAGGCTCCTCCCAATGAACCCAAACAGCAACCTTTCGTTTGACCTTTGAGGGAATTCACCGTGCGCGCAACCAGGCCCCTTGCTCTTTGGGGTGTGTAGGGGCGCGGTGGAGTTCAGTCTTGGAGCTTTAAGTGGGAGTACACCACCAGGAGCTCATCAAGGCTGGGGGCACCAAGTCCCAGAGCAGGGACCATTGATGCCAAGTGCTGGCAGAGGGCTGGCTGTGGGGGCTGGTGAGGGGTTGCAGAAAGAGGGGGCTCAGCCCCTGCCTGAAGCTGAGGGGACTTGTGTGAGGCACCCTGACGTACACTTCCAGAATCCTCCTCTCTGCGAGACCCAGAAGATGGCCCAGGCTCGTGTTCTCAGGAATGCCAATGGCTGCTCTTGCCCCTGCCACCGGTTTGGGGGCCGCCTCCCGACACCCAGAGACCAGGCAGTGATGCCCTATTGGGTGCCACAGCGCCTGAGGAGGCAGAGGGTGAGGCCCAGGGGACAAGGGCCTGGCAGGGAGGGGACAGTGTGGGCGTCTGGAAAGCCGCTGACAGAGAGGTTTGGGTGGCTGAGTTCCAGGGGGGCTCAGGCAGGTTTCATTGTTCTCTGAGGAGAGCGGAGTTTTCTAGAGCTCACTGCTGCTGCCGTGTTGTTCAGTCTTGTCCACCCTGCTTTCCCATCATCCCTTTCCAGCCTCGTGCTCTTTCCCTTCTTCCCACCCACCCTGATCTCCCCTACCTCACTCCTTCCTCCTTGTCTCCCTGCCTTTCCCAGCTTTCTGCCATCATGACCAAGCTCACCTAGTGGGTGGTGGTTGGGGGTACTAGAGCAGGACACCACGCATGACTCCCGACCCGTCCCTCCTGTTCTGTGGGCCTTCACAAGTGTCCTGGGTAGCTGGGAGGGACTGGTGTTCCATAACCGCCCCGATGGAACTCCGAGTGTCCTACCTGGGGCCCAGCCAGGATTTGGCCCCTCGTGCCTCAGGTGCCCCTGGGCCCAGCCTGCTGTGCTCACCAGGCTGACCGACCACATGGCCTCATCTTGCAGGTGGAGAAGAGGCAGCAGAGGCCTACAGGCCTCCCAGGTAACTGCCCCAGGAAGGGGCGGGGTGGGGTGATCCTCATCTGCAGCGAACTCCACACCCAGTGGGTTCGAGGGGCTTCTATTTTCTTGGAGATCATCGCCAATGTTGCAGGTGCTCTGCCGAGTCTCTAGACCACAAGTCAAATCTTAGGACAGAAAGGGTGGGGCCCGCGAGGGGCAGGCGCTGTTCTGGGTCAGGAGGGCGTTCGGGATTAACCCCCAAACCCACTACGGTCATGTCTGTTCCCATACATAGCCACCCTGGTGGTCAGAATTGAGCAGATTGTCGTATAATTCTTCCATGAGGCAGCTGGTGGGTTCCAACCACCGAACCTTTGTGTTAACAGCTGAGTTCTTTAACCACTGCGCTACCAGGGGCCTTGGAAGCAGCCAGATAGCAAATATTTCCAGCCTGACATATTCACTGCTCAACCTCGCCCTCAAGTGAGGCTGCCCAGCTGTTCCACATCAGTAGGTACACCTGTGTCCCAGGTAACCCACACCGTTAACCCTACACTCCTCCCTGTCTCCTGCTGCCTTTGTCTTTCCTCCGCTAACCTCCCATTTGTATGTTGCCTGCCCCATCACCCTAGTTAACACGTGTCTGTCCTCTAGCCCATGTGAGCTAATGCGTCAGACTGCAAAATCATTTCAACTGCAAGGTCGGTGGTTCAAGCTCACCAGGTGCTCCTTGGAAACCCTACACAGGGTTAATATGGGTCAGAATTGACTCGGCAGCACTTAACAACAACAACCCACCTCATAACCATCATAGAATGTTTTTATTAAGAAAGCGTTTCCTTAACTTATTATAACATTGTCTCATACAGTATTTGTGCAAGTATGGTTGGCTCATTTCACTCAGCATCATGTCCTCCGGGTTCATGCATTATTGTGAAGTGTCTCTCAGATTCACCTTTACTCTTCAGCGTTAGGTAATTCCATTGTGTGGATGCACCAAAGTTTGCCTCACCTTTTGTTGATGGGCATATAAGCTGTCTCCATCTTTTTTTTTTTTTTTTTTATAAGTTTTTATTGTGAATCGAGGGAAGGTTTACAGACAAGACCATCAGTTTTACACTCAGTAAGTCACACTTGGTTTCATCTTAGTGATGACAATTCCCTCCATGGAGCCTGGCTTCCTCCCTGTGGATCCTGCTTCCCTTCTACGCTCTTTGCCATCTCTTCTCACCTTTGTCCTCAGGTACATGTTACTCCTTGGAGCTTGAATGTTTGGCTGTCTCTTGTAGACATCGAATTGCATTCTGCTACCGTCTCTCTTGATCGATGCATTTAATCCAGTTACATTCAGTGTAATTATCAATAAGTAGAATTGACTGATGTCGTTTGGCTGTGTGTTTTTTTGTGTGGTTTCTGGTCTCTTTGTTTATATAATTTTCAGCGCTGAATGCATTTTGTTTGTGGTTTCCTTTTCATTTCCACTGGGTTAATGTTTACTAAATCAGTCTGCTTTTCCCCTTTTTTATTTTGATGTGCAGGTGTTTTAATTATCTTTGAGCTTACCCTGCAATTTATTCATTTCCCACCTGTTTAAAACAGTGGGTTTTATTTTGACATCCACTTGACTTCCTTTCCATTTGGATGTTCTGTATCTTTTTGTTTTGTGGTTGATGTTATTATAAATTGGTTTTTGGTTCCCTATTTTCAGTCTGGTAGGTTTTACTGTAAGTACTTCTGTATCTGGGTTGAGTTTTGGGTGGTGTTGTCGTAGATGGTAATCCCAGATTGTTGTCTGCTGTTGTTGGTTCTCAGTCCAAAGAGCAGTCTTTAGTGTTTTTGATAAAGTTGATGTGGGCATTCCAAAGTCTTTCAATTTCTGTTTATCAGGAATGCTGTAATTTCACTATCGTATTTGAGGGTCAGCTTTGCTGGGTATATGATTTGTGGTTGGCACTTTTTTTCTTTCAGAGTTTTGTGTATGCCATCCCATTGCCTTCTTGTCTGCATGGTTTCTGCTGAGAAATCAGAGCTAAGTCTTTTTATTTTTTATTGTAAATTGAGTGAAGGCTAACAGACAAGACCACCAGCTTTATATTCAACAAATTATGTACTTTGTTTCATCTCAGTGATTACAAGCCCCTCCCTACAACAACAGTCATCCTGCTTCCTCCCTGGGGCTTAGCTTTTTTTGTTTTTAAAGTTTTTATTGTGAACTGAGTGATAGTTTACATGGGAGAACATCGCTTTACACTCATCGTTTCATTGCAATGATTACAATCTCCTCTGTGCGGCATTATTTAACAGTATTTGCTTCTATTCCCTCTGTTGTTGTTGTTTTTTATGGGGGGGGGTTGTTGTACACAAAAACACACAGGGCTATATCATTTAAACAACCAAAGGGCACACTCCTGGCTGCCACCACCCAGTCCCTCTCTTTCCATGAGTCTAGAGTTCTCAGCTGCTCCCTCTCTCCATGACCCCATCTCTGCCTCCATCTCTGGTGTCGCTGCTGCTCTGGATAAGGTCTCGTATTCCACTTGTGCTCTTCTCCCTGGATGATCCTAGGGTTCTCTGTTCCTGAACTGTAAGATGAACTACTCCCCCCTTTTTGTTACAGAACTACCTTTACAACTGTGATGGTCACAATTAGTCATGATAACAATTATTCACTATTGAATCATAGGAATCTTATCCCCATCTCCTTTCACCAGACCTGTCTAGACAAAATGAAAACTCTGCAGTGGGGATTCTACCTTCCCCCGCACACTCTGAAACTAAACTACCTCTTGAAAACTTGTAAGCCAGTCACTTCATGCCTTTATCGCCTCATCATTTTAGGTAGCCAATGTCTAAGTTGTGTGCCTCCTCTTTTACATCTAATATTTCACAAATAAACAAAGCAGAAATATTTGATGTACACACATACAGGATAATATATATTTATTTAAATGTCTTAAGGGCACATTCTGCAAGCCAGCCTCCTGCCTGCAGGCACACAGCCTTACTTGGTCTATGGGCTGAGAGTTCGCAGCTGCTCATCTCTCTGAGCCATTGCCTCTGCCACACACATCTCATGCCTCACGCATGCTCTTCCTTCTTGATGGTCAGAGCTTAGTCTTATTGGTTCTTCTTTGCCGGTAAACTTTTGTTTTTACAGAGCTGCTGTCAGGATTCTTTCCTTGCCTTGGGGTTTTGGAGAGTTCGATAGTGCTATGTCTTGTCACTTCATTGTAACTATTTTAGGGTCCGGCTCAGACAGAGAAAGCTGTCTCTAATCACAGCCATGGTGTCACCACACCTACCAGGAGGAAATCGGTCTGCATTTCCACCATTGTGACCAGTCCTGTTGGACAGTCCCCAAGACCAAGTGCCTGACCCACCCTTTCCTCACAGACCGCCCCCTGGACGCGCCATCCCGGTACAGACAGTGGCGGATTTGCTGTGATAGACCCCTCCTCCTCCTCAAGTGGCAGCAGCTACAGGCACCCCAGGCCCTGGGTGAGGTGGCTGACTTCCCCGAGCTGCCCCTCCTGCCCTTCGGCCTCAGCCTCCTGACCCTCCTGCAGGCTGTTCTGAGAGTCCTGGCCATCATCCGGTGAGTGGCAGGACCGAAACAGCTCAAGAAAGTGGCAACTGTCAATGGCCTTAGTGTTGTTGGCAGTTTGTTTTTGAAGAGCCCCGGGGGAGCAGCGGGTTAAGCACTGGGCTGCTAACTGAAAGGTTGTGGTTTGAACCCACTAGCCACACCAAGGGAGAGAGATGAGAGAGTGTGCTTCTGTAAAGATTTCAGGTCTCAGAAACCACAGAGCAGTTCTACTCTGCCCCAGGGTGTTACTGAGTCAGAATTGGCTAGACGGCATATGTCAACAAAAATGATACGTTGTTATATTTTATTATGTTTAATGCAATAATTCTTCAATATTATATTATTTGATATAACTTATTATATTTGTGTTACAATATACCATCCTGGAGTGCTAGCCTCAAGGTTGGTGGTTCAAAGTCACCAGCTGCTCCGTGGAAACCCTGTGCAGGGTCACTATGAGTGGGAGCTGGCTCTACGGCACGTGGAGTTTATCTTTATATGGTCTATGTATCAGAGCTGTTTTGCTCATATATAGTATGCATCTCCTTTTATTTCAACAAGTATAATCTCAGAGAGATCTAGATGTGCCTGGGTGGGGAGGGGAGGGGAGGAAGGCTGGCCAGAAGGAGGGATGGGGTCCCCACACTCTGTGGAGCTTTGGGAGGGCTGGGAGCAGCCTCTTTCCCTACCTGGAAGTGTCGAAGGTGGTCAGATCTGCCCCCACCTGCCTGGCTCTGCAGAATGGAGTTACTACTGAGTGACTTGTGCTTGGATTGCTGCCTAAGGAGAATGGGGTCTCTGGGGGGCTCTCCAGGGAACCGACAGCACCCCCAGTTGTGGAGCTAAGACCTACTCACCACCCTTCTCTCTGCTTCCAGCCAGTTGTTCTGGATCTGAAGACAGAATCCGCAGCCCCTCTCGAGGACGGAGGTTCGGAAGTCACACCCACCACTGTCTCAGGGAGACCCCAGGGTGGTGGGTGCTAGGTTCTGTTGGTGTGATCTCGGTGGGAGTGTTGGGAGCATCCTCAATAAACGTTGTTGGTGAACTGGCACGGTGCCACGCCCCTTCTCTATGAGGCGCCTGTTGTCCCCTCTGGCCCCTGAGCACCTTGCAACTGGAGGGCAGCAGAATCCCTCGACCAAAGCCCGGTTGCGGTTTAGCCCGTTCACTGTAAATAGCATCAAATGATACACAAATGGAGTCTTTTTGGGGGGAATGTTTTGGCGTGGTTTGTGTGAAGGTTTACGGAACACATCAGTTTCCCATCCAACAATTCAGACACGTTTTGTCTTGTGATGTTGGTTAAAACCCCCTCAATGAAACAGCGCTCTCCTCACTTCCTCCTTGGGTTCCCTGGTTCCATTTGTCCTTTGCATCCCCTTCCTGCCTTCTGGCTGTGTTTTTGGGCTAATGCCTTTTAGTTTCATGTGGTTGAAACCAGTGTTCCTTGTGAGTGTGATTGTTCACTGTATGCTGTTTGGCTCAGATTCCATGTGAATTTTTAAGTATGGGATATGATTCGCCTACCAGACTACCCCCCACTTTACAGTGTAGGGCTCAGCGGAATTTTTAGTCCGTTCACAAGGCTGTGCACTGTCAGTACTGCCTAATTCCAGAACATTCCCACCATCCCTTTGTTGTTGTGATGTGCCAACAACCCTGTGCAGGGTTTCCCAGGAGAAATTGGTGGGTTTGAACCTCCAACCTTGTGGTTAACCATCCAGTGCTTATCTGGCAGCACCACACCAGCACCCCTTTGTTGTTGTTAGGAGCCATCGAGTCAGTTCTGACTCATAAGGACCCTATGCACAACAGAACGAAACACTGCCCAGTCTTGGGCCAACCTCACAATTGTTCTGTTTGAGTCCACTGATGCTGCCGCTGTATTCGTCCATCTTCTTGAGGGTCTTTCTCTTTTTCCCAGCCCTCTACTGTAGTAAGCATGATGTCCTTCTCCAGGGTCTGTCCCTCCTGATGATGACATGTCCAAAGTACAAGGCACAAACTCTCTCATTCCTGATTTCTAAGGAACACTGTCTCTGTACTTTCTCCACCACCGATTTGTTTGTTCTTCTGGTAGTCCGTAAAGTTTCAATATTCTTATTCAACACCATAATTCAAATGCATCGATTCTTCTATGGTCTTTCTTATTCAGTGTACAACTTTCACAGGCATATTAGGCTGTTGACAATACTATGTATGACCTCGGTCAGGTGCACCTTAGTCCTCAAACTGATATCTTTGCTCTTTAACACTTCGAAGAGATCTTCTGCAGCAATTTGCCTAATGTAACAAGTCTTTTACGTTCTTGCCTGCTGCTTGCATGAGTGTTTAATTGTGTATCCAAGCAAAATGAAGTCTTGAACAACTTCAGTCTTTTCTCCACTGATCATGATGTTACTTACTGGTCGCTTTGTGAGGACCTTTGTTTTCTTTATGTTAAGAAGCAATTCATGCTGAGGGCTGTGGTCTTTGATATTCATCAGTAAGTATTTTAAGTCCTCTTCACTTTCAGAAAGCAAGGTTATATCATGTGCATATTGCAGGTTGTTAATGAGTCTTCCTCTGATCCTGATGCCACGTTCTTCTGCATATAACCCAGCTTTTCAGAGTATTTGCTCAGCATACAGATTGAGAAAGTATGTTGAAGGGATACAACCCTGGCACACACCTCTCCTGATTTTAAACGATTCGGTGTTCCCTTGTTATGTTCGAACGACCGCCTCTTTGTCTATGTACAAGTTCCTCATAAGCACAAGCAAGTGTTCCAGAATACCCACTCTCCACAATGTTGTCCGTAGCTTGTCCTGATCCACACAGTCAAAAGTCTTTGCGTAGTCAAGAAAGCACAGGAAAACATCTTTCTGGTAGTCTCTGCTTTCAGCCAAGATCCATCTGACGTCAGCAATGATATCCCTCAGTCCACGCCCTCTTCTGGCTTGACCCTGCAGCTGTTTTTGAATGATCTTTAGCCAAGTTTTACTTGCATGTGATGGTAATGATATTGTCAGATGATTGCCACATTCCATTGGGTCACCTCACTTGGGAATGTGAGGTTCTCTTCAGCAGTGGTTTCTTCAATCAACAACCGTTTCTTGGATGTCTTCTGTGTGTCTGGCGCCACTTGTGTGACTGGGAGACTGTAGGAAGCGGGACTGTGCCCCAGATCATTACATCCCTACCCTGTGTGCCTGGGGCCCTGTCCTCATTAACATGGGCTCCGGCTCTGCTTCTGGGGATAAGATGGCTGTGAAGGGACCCCTGAGGCCTGTGGGTCAAGCTCAGCTGACCTGGCAGTGTGGTGCATGCTGGGGATGTAAGAAATTCAGGGCAACTGAGTAACAAGCTAGAGTCTGGCAGTGGAGAAGGTACCTGGACTGAGCTGAGGGGCCGGACAGAGACCCCATGGGAGTCTGCAGCGAACCCTGCCTGAGGAGTGGGTGCAGTGTGGCTGCGTCTGTCCTTGAGGGATGAACAGTGTTCCGCAGAGTCGCTTATCCTGTTGTCTCAGTGATAGTGTGGCCTGAGCGTTGGTTCAAGACCTCAGCCCGGCTCTCTGCTGGTGTTTCACGGAAGTCACGTTGGAGCCACCAGGGGGCGCCGGGCTCGTCTGTCATCCGGAGTGTGAATGGTGGAGGAATGAGTGCACACGCAGGGACCCACCTCCTCCTGTCTGTCCACGGCTTCCCAAGACAGGGCTGGGGAGTCTCAGGGGATGGTGTTTCTCCATCCATGCACCCCAGCTCCAGTGAGGGAACCCACAGAAGTGTCCTCCGCCCTCCCTTCCTTGTTTCTTTCCTTTTCCTTCTTCATTTCAGCTCAGTTACCCAACTACCCACCCTTCCACGGTCCCTTCGTTCCCCCATCCTTCCCACACCGTTTTCTGTATAGCACCCTCCTCCCCCCTCACCCGTCTGTCCCCAGCTCTCTCCAACAACAGTGCTTTCTGCCCCAGTGGCAATGCTCCATGTCCTCCATTAGGGAGTTTGGAATTTCACATTTAATATTTGCTAATTTTGTGGTGCTGGTGTGGCGCTGTGGGTTAATGCATCAGACTGCAAAGCCATTTGAACTGCAAGGTTGGCAGTTCAAGCTCACCAGCTGCTCCTCGGAAACCCTATACAGGGTCGCTATGGGTCGGAATCGACTTGA